GCCAGCACTATTTGTCTGTCATTACGAATGCTATAATCTATTGTCTATTGGAAATGATACAATAAATCATAATAGAAACATCAAGATCGTTACTATTATATTATTTTACTTTCGTCCATCTATCCATCTAACCATCACAGGCTCAGTTCAAATGGCGACTGGAGTAGAATTATCTAAACAATGCTTACCTATTAGCAAGGTACCAAAATACTCCTCCGATTGGGTTATAAAAGTCTTTGTTGTTCGAAGGAGTAAAGTAATTCCATACAAAAACCAAAGGAACGGAGGTGTTTTCAAAACTCGTATACTAGTTGATGAAGAGGTAATACTTTTTACATTTATAATGTATACTTTACTAATTTATATTGTCTTTCTTAATAGCATAAAATGTTTGTTGCACCTTTAATAGGGGACAAAGATCCAAGCAACACTTTTTAATAAGCATGTAGAGAAATGGAAAGACTTCTTTGAACCAAATAGGAGTTACTTCATTATAAATGGTCGCCTAGATCGTGTCAACCCAAACTACTTCTCGGTTCACAAAGAAGTTGAAATAGCTTTTACTGACAACACTATCATCAAGGAATCTGAAACAGACATTTCCACCCAACAATTCTCAAATAGCTTTTTGTTCTTGGAAGAGGCGGTTAACTGACGACACTATCTTTGGTAACTGTTTATAGGAATAAACAAATCATTTTCGTGCATAAATTCTATATACTTATAACTACTTCTCTAATGACCTACTTTGCAGATGTAGTTGCCATTTTAGTTACAGTGAAACCACTTATTGGAGAAGGTCGTAGCAGGAGAAGAGAGATAATAGTTACAAATGAAAGGTCAGTTAATCTTACGCATGTTTCAATGAAAACCAAAAATTTTAGGTATTATATAGGTTAGGTAATACAACTAATAAAATTTTAATTTAAAACACAGGTCTGATCTTACATCTATCACTTTATGGGGAGATTTTGCTGAAAATGATGGTGAACTTCTTGAAAAGATGAAATACGATAAACCAATCCTTGGCTTTTGCGATGTTAGAGTCTCAATTTACAAAGGTATATACACCAACAATTGTTTTTATTATAGTATTCACACTTTAGCCTCTATTTATATTATTCACACTTTATGGACTAAAACTATTCTAAATAATTTCAACTTCTTTAATTAGGAAATTTTGGAATATCAAGTATTCCTGTCAGCAGTGTGCTAATCAATCCAACAATCCAAAAGGCAACAGAACTCCGAAATTGGTACTTATGATAATTCTATTGCATTAGTAGTCATGGATATATTGCTGGTATTATCAACTCTTGAACCTTGTTATCATGATTAAAACTATAGGACCCTTAAATTTACAATCTCTACTACATAATTTTACACTACTGACTGCTTCTATTTTTAAAACAAATTTTGCTATAAAAAAATTACACAATACAATACCAAATAATAAGCATGCTCCTCTCTTAAGTTTATTCCAAATATTATGAGGTAAGCCTCCCTTTTTTAATTGAATGACAAAAACATGTGCTGCAAATAGGGCCAAATATTTCTCAGTTACAAGGTTTTGGTTGTAAGTTTCCTTTAACAAATTTACAATCGTCACGTCTACATCTTATTCATTGTTCTAATTATTGTTTCATAAATATTTTGATGTGTTAAATTTTTTATCCTATAAATATATTATACATTTCAATAATACTTACTAAAATATAGGCGTGATTCCATGAAGGCGGAAAATAAAGATATTGCATTAATACCAACTAAGACAATGAAAAGTGCCAAAGAAGTGAAGTTAGTTGATATTATGGATGGCGTACTTGCAGATGCACATGTAACTTCCTACAAACCTGTTCTCAATATACATGTTTTATAATTCTTATATAATATAATATAATCTATTTCTTATTGTTTATGTCCAGGAAATATATTACAAGTTCAAAGTAAAAATTACAGACATTATAAATAAAGATGAGCCATGGTATTCTTCATGCAAAAAATATTTCAAGAGAGTTGATGTTATAAAAGATACTGCAACTTGTGGTAACTGTAACATAGAAAATGTTGATTATGAAAGCAGGTGAGATTGAACAACTCTTTTAATTATTTCATTTAAATGAACCAGTTATGATTTTTTTTAAACAATCGACAATATTTTAGATATTGTTTAAGAATTGAAGTTTATGCTGGAGAACGACGTGTTCGAGTTATACTTTTTGACGCTGCAGAATATTTGTTTGGTTGTGATGTCAAGGAGTATATTCAATCAATCTCTACGAAGGTCTGAATATTCTTTATTATAAATTTAAGTGTACTAATACTTTGAAAGTATTTCAATAAGAAAATACGTTTCATAAATTTTAATTTAATACATAAATTAATTTCAACTGTATTCTTGTTCTTCAATTGTGCAGAAGGAAGAATCTAATTACTACCGCAAGTTGGTGCTGAGTAAAGATAAAGAATTTATTTTTCTTGTCAAGATTGATAAGAAAAATGAAAATTCAGGAAGGAGTTTAATAGCTCAAGAGATACATGTATTTCAAGACGTTGACACAATCAAAGTTCTGGAAGAAGATAAACCAGCAAAGATACGAAGGAAAAGGTCGAAAAAAAACAATGAAGATCAACGTCCTATTTCTAATAAAAGAATCAAAGTAGATAAAAATTAGTGCTCTTTCTTTATGGCCAAATAAACTATGAAATACTATTATTTCTCAAGTTGTATTTGTAGAAGTATTATTGTATTCTGTAAACTTAATTATTTTTATATCATTATGTAAAGACAAATTGTGCTGGCAGAGCATTAAATGAAATTTCCATTCTTCACTAAATTATTTTCAACCGTAATTCTTCTAATACGTTAATTGTATCCATTTTACAGATTATTTAATCTATTTTTACATAGAGGCAATTATTCAATCGGAAGAGGCATTACGCCCCAACCTATCATAGGTATATATTTAGCTAAATAATTTATTTTTATTGTAAATTTAAATATCAACTGAAATCGTTTATGAAACAAAATATTATTTTACTTAAGGAAGAAGCCTGTTGAGGTACGGACATTAAAAATTATTACTCTATATTATATTGGCTATTGTTAATTTATCTTATTCAATCACGTTATTAATTGATCTATGTAGGATAACATAAAATTATACAAAATATCTGAGAAATAAAAAATAAAATTATGTCTCATGCAGGCAAATTAAGCATGACAATTCGTGACAAACCCCAACCCAAAATAACAGGTAAACTTCACCAAGTTCTTTCAATTGATATTAATATAACCTTTTCTCAATTACTAATATCATAACATAAAAAATTTAATAGGAAACAAACGAAAATCAATTGCAATATCTAACGTAACTGATAAAGATGGAAATAATGCTACAAACAAGATGGGTCATTCAGGTGACGCAATTTATACCTTAGAAAATAAATTAACTCATGATCAACTATCCCTAAATTAAAAGAAATAAAATATATACGTTATTTAATCTTCATATTTTAATTTGTGTATATATTATATTAATTGTCACAAACTATTAATATTTGTGTATATACATACGTTTTTTAATGCTTTATCATTAAAAAAGCATTGCGAAGGGTGCAAAAATATGTTGCATCCACTCAACCTATTAGCGATGCACCCTTTGAAGATACATGACCTAAGAGGCAAAGAAGAACTGGTCACTTATTGCTTTATCAGAAAAAAACTAAAATGGAGGTATATTTACTGCACTAACTTATTTTGATTTTCTTTATTTCATTACATTTCAAATTTCAAATAATATTACAATATAATATTTTTCGCTGCTTCATTTAGACGGAACTACTTGCAACTTATCATCTTCAAATACTCATAAGTTGGAAAAAATCCCAGAATGTACATTTTGTCATGCCAAGAGGTTTCAATATGAGCCTCCAAAATTTTGTTACGGAAGTGGATATATCAAATTGGCAACCCATGACGTTCCGTCAGAGTTATATAAATTATTTGTAGCTAAGTCTGAAGAAGCCAAATTATTCCAAAAAAATATCAGAGCATATAATAGCATATTTTCTTTTCTGATATTTTCTTTTACATCTTTTGGAGTTAAGCTCGATAAAGAAATATCATCTTCAAGGAAAGGAGTTTATACTTTTAAGGCACAAGGACAAATATATCATCATCTTCCGTCATTAGTTCCACATGATGATAATCCATGCTATTTTCAGTTGTACTTCTATGATACAGATAATGAATTGTGCAATAGAATATCAAAACTTTAGGAAGCAAACTTATCGGAGGAAATCGTGGCAAAAATCAGGAAAATAATGGATGAAAATCCATATGCACAATTCTTTTCCCAGCTAAAAGATCAACCGACATTTCAAAATTTACAAGTTCGAATAGCAGCGACTGCTTTTTTAGATCAACGGGTGTACAACAAACCGACAGTAGATCAAGTTGCAGCAATTTGGATAGACGGAAACAATCCTAATATCCATTTGAAAGAGATATTTTGGTCCATGAACATTCAGGCAACAAACATCGAGTTAGACATTACTATGGTTATTATGACCCCCTGCAATATCCTTTACTTTTTCCTAATAGTTGCAGTACCACAAATGAAAGTGCCAGTTCCAGCACAAATGCACAAACATTTGTATCTGCAAGTGAGGTGTTTGCCAATGAAGAACAAGATAATATTTTTGAATTAGGCAAATACATTTTTAAGAGTTTAAAATTATTATTAATTATCACTTTAAAAATCATACTTATAGGTGTCCATCGTGAAACTGAAGGATATGTGTCTTGTAGAGAGTATTATTATTACAAACTACATATTCGCAAAGAAGATAATTGCATAATACTACTATGTGGTAGATTATTGCAACATTTTGTGGTTGATATGTATATAAAATTAGAAACAACAAGACTGGAATATTTTAGATTTGAACAATCAAATTTCAGAAGGGAGATATATCAAGGTATCGTGGATAGTGTCATGGCAGGAGAATGTAGAGGAGAAAAAGTTGTTCAAAGGGTATTACTTCCAACATCATTCATTGGGGGTCCTAGGGATATGCGGCGACACTACATGGATGCTATGACTCTGGTTCAATATTTTGGAAGACCAGATATATTTATTACGATGACATGTAACACTGAATGGGTAGAGATTCAAGAAGAGTTGTGCGAAGGTCAACTCCCTCAAGATAGACCAGATTTAGTGACTAGAGTTTTTAGAGCAAAGTTGCAAGACCTTAAAGACCAAATTTTCAATAAAGAAATATTTGGCCCTATTGCAGCACATGTTTTTGTCATTGAATTCCAAAAGAGAGGCTTACCTCATATACACCTTTTGGTCATACTTAAAGAAGGTCACAAGATAACAACACCAGACCAGTATGATAGATTTATTTATGCAGAATTGCCTGACAAGGACAAACAGCCGCACCTGAATGAATTAGTTATAAGGCCTATGATGCATGGACCTTGCGGTGAAAATCGGCGCACAAGCCCATGCATGAAGGATGATCAATGTAAATTCCATTATCCACGACCATTCAGTAACAAATCAATACAAGGAAAAGATGGATATCCTATTTATAGGAGAAGAAATGATGGAAAAACAGTAAATGTTCGTGGAATGAATATGAATAACCAATGGGTTGTGCCTTATAATCCATATTTGTTGATGAGACATAATTGCAATATCAATGTAGAAGTTTGCTCAGGAGTAAAAGGAATAAAATATCTCTACAAATATATATATAAAGGGCATGATGGGTGTGCAGTTTATATTGAGTCGGATGATGGCGAAAAAATAGTTGATGAAATTAGAAATTTCCAAGATGCACGATGGGTCTCTCTGCCAGAAGCACTATGGAGAATTTATGAATTTAATCTAAGTGAAATGCAACCTCCGGTTATTAAACTTCAACTACATCTACCCGTCAATCAAGCAAGTACTAAAATTAATTAACTCTTATAGCAATATTTAATGCAATTTTTTTACCTGCAACTACATCAATATTTATGTTCTACTATTGTAACCATACTTTAGTGTACTATTGGAAGAAGCAAAATCTCAGAAATGTGATGGCCTCAGACACTGTAAAGCATACTATGCTCACCGAGTATTTCAGGATGTGCTCAATAGACGATGATGCACGAAATTATCTTTACAGAGAATTTCTAGAGCATTATGTTTGGAATCCGCAGCCTAAAATTTGGACAAAAAGAAAAACACGATCTGTGATTGGTCGGATTGCTATTGGTAAGACAACTATTACTTAAATTCAAATAATTGTTCGCTTCTTAAATTATGCATATTAACATTTATAAATAAATAATATAGCTAATCCCCGAGAAGGTGAAAGATATTACGAGAGATTATTACTGAACCACGTTAGAGGTCCATTTTCATTTGAAGATTTGCTAACTGTTAATGGAAAAAAATGTGAAACATTCAAAGAAGCTGCCAAACAAGGAGGATTATTAGAATCAGATAATAGCATTTCTGAATGTTTACGCGAGGCTGTCTTTTTCAAAATGCCATCAGCTCTTCGAAGTTTATTTGCAACAATTTTAGTTCATTGCAATCCAACGGATATTAGAAATCTATGGGAAACATACTACGATGATATGTCAGAAGACTTTCGAAGGATGCATAGAAATTCACCTGCTACTCAACTCCAATGTACACTAAAAAGTGTTAATTATTATCTGGAGAGTATGGGTAAAAGTGTTGAAAAATATGATTTACCAAAAATCAACCAACAGTCATGCCAAAAAATCACTTCAGAATGTAGAGAAACAATTGAAGAAACGTCTATGAAAGTACCTGTGGAAGATTATGAGGCACAATCAAAGTTGAATCATGAACAAACACAAACTTTCAAGACCATATTACATAGTGTAGACTCTGGAACAATAAGATTATTTTTTGTAGATGGACCTGTGGAACTGGAAAAACATTCTTATATTGTGCATTACTAACAAATGTTAGATCAAGAGGTATGATAGCTTTGGCAACTGCAACCAGTGGTGTAGCAGTTGCAATATTACCAGGAGGTCGTACAACTCACTCTAGATATGGCATACCTCTTCAAACAAATGATACAACTATAACAAAAATGTCAAAACAAAGTGCTGCTACTAAGCTAATAGGACAAGCAAAATTAATAATATGGGATAAAGCACCCATGACAAAGCGTCAAACAATTGAAACAGTTGACAGGAGCTTTCGAGATATAATGGATGTCAATGTACCTTTTGGTGGAAAAGTAATGGTCTTTGGAGGCGATTTTCGACAAGTATTGCAGTTGTTCCAAAATCTACAAGAACAGAGATGGTTAACGCAAGTTTAGTGAAATCCTATTTATGGCCTTTAATGGAAAAAATACATTTTATAACTAATATGAGAGCAAGAGCAGATCCAAATTTCAGTGGTTTCTTACTACGTGTTGGTAATGGGGACGAGCAAACAGTAAAGGATAACTTATTACGCCTTCCAGAACAAATAGTTGTCAAACACAATAGTGTTGAAAGACCAGATGAATGCTTGATAAGAGAAATATTTCCATCACTACATCAAAATTCCAAGTCTGCATAGTTCATACCAGAAAGAGCTATCTTAGCAAGTAGAAATGAATTTGTAGATCAACTAAATGAAATGTTGATAGCCAAGTTTCCAGTGAAAGCAAGATATTTATTAGTTTTGACTCTGCAGAAGATGATACCAACAACTACTATCAAGAAGAATACCTCAATATTTTAACACCAAATGGTCTTCCTCCACATAGGTACATCGTCAAACCTAATATGTCACTACAGTTTCTTTTAAACTATTTCTTTCACTCACTCTCTCTCTCTTTGTATATATATGTGTGTGTACTTTTTAATTTACAAAAACACAAAAATTTAAACATATCTATATTTACATAAATAGGTTAGTTTTGAAAGAAAATACACCCATTATGCTACTTAGAAATTTGGACCCTTCAAATGGCTTATGCAATGGTACAAGGATGATCTGTAGAGGGTTTGACAATAATGTTATACATGCCGAAATTACAACGGGTCAATCTGCTAAGAAACATGTTTTTATTCCAAGAATCCAACTTAGTCCACCTAAAAATGAAGGATATCCTTTCAAATTCGTGCGGAAACAATTCCCTGTACGTTTATGTTTTGCCATGACAATAAATAAAGCACAAGGACAAACAATACCCAATGTTGGATTGTATCTACCACAACATATTTTCTCACATGGACAACTTTACGTTGTACTTTCAAGAGGAATATCAATGTCAACAACAAGAGTGCTGGTTATGACAGAACAACCAAAACAGATGGAAGGAACATACACGAGGAGTATCGTCTACAAGAAAGTATTAGGTGAGATACACTTAGTTATAAGTTATTAACCTCAAATTCATAAATAAATATTCAAATCACATGTATGTAATGACACTTTGATTGTTTATCTTTGTAGGTTCGGATGAATAAACCAATTGAAGATGATCCTCAATGATCATTCACTGAAATTTATATTATATTCTTTCATGTATACTTATACTTGCTTAAAACTTTATTTTCATAATTTTAATGTTAGTTTGCGATAACGTGCATTAATGAACTCGATGCACACGTGCAACGCACGTGCCAAGAAACTAGTATATACGGAAATATATATTACTCCATTTGTCTCGATTTATGCGACAATATTCCTATTTTGAAATTTAATCATTTTTTTACCGTAATTTTTCCATTTATCTTTTAAATATTTTAAATTGCTAATTATTATGACTAATAATACCTTTTTTACATCATTTTCAAATATGTAAACTTTATTTAAAAAAACTTAAAGATGCTTTGTCTGAATTCATGACCAAAATTAATTCGTTTGGCTCTTGAAATTTGAATACCATTACACAAAATTGAGATAAATATATATAATTATTATTAGTGATAATTACGTATATAAAAGATACTCTATGTTAGCTTCTAAGGGTATAATATAATGATTAATAAAATAAAAAAATTACGAGATCTCAAATTTAAATTCTCTAATAGAAACAAAAATATTACGCCATCATTCGAAAAAGATACAATACCAAAATTTGTCTTATGGAATATTTAATTGAAGAATAAATTTAGTGAAGATTTTGAAGAATAAGATAAGTGTGCAACAAAAAGCTGACTAGTGAAAGAGTCCAAAAAGAGAGTACACATACATTACATACATACACTCTTTCTCCTTCCCTTTAATCTTCGCACACTACTCTAGAGAAACACAGCTTAGTACAAGCTAACACTCACTGGCGCCACTGTCAAACCGAGCTATATTTTGTCGGAAAGTTAGTCGCCGTCGATTATCTCCGTTTCCGGTACTCCTAACTTCTTTCTCCCCATATTTCTTTCTTCAACTTTTTCTTTTCTCTTCTATTTGAAGGAATGCTCTCTGTGTATGTAGAGTACTCATTATCCTTTGAACCCCCCCCCCCCCATTTTTGTTCCATTTTTGATTCATAAGTTTATCTTTTCAAGTGTCTGCTCCCTTGGTTGGAAGTACCTAACTCCTTTTTTTTTTGTTTAATTCATTCTTTTGAGAAGAATCTGGGACTACTTGCATGTTGGGTTTTTGAAATTTATTGGTCTTTTCTGTTGGTATGTTGGGTCTAAGCTGATTTTGCCTTTCATGCTTTTTTTTCTTTTGTGTGTGTGTTTGTGTGTGTGTGATATTTAAAGGTTTTGGTGAAGGAGATAATATATGCTATTCGTAACAGATAAGCTTGTTTAAAAAATGGTCGGATTCTGCTGAGTATAATGAATGTTGTTGCTTGATATGTTCTATTTTGCTCCTGGTTATTCAGGCCTATAGCCATTGTGTTGAATTGGAAAAGATAATGTTGCATATATTAGCCCAGAATATATGGTTAATTGCATGCTTTGTAGGTTGAATGGGCCTACGTGGCGCGAATCCGGATATAGTCGGGCTCCAATGCGGGTACCGGACACCGGGTGGGAAACCAAAAAAAAAAGAAAAGAAAAGTAAGCTGTATTTAGTATGAATCTGGAAATTAATTCATTTTCTAGCAACGAAACACCAAAAAATATTTTCCTTGAAAAATAAAACATCTTTCTTAATTTATGTTTTTTTCCGGTAGTCCATTTGAAATAATTTCTAAATTTAGAGTGTTGCATAGTGAGACAAAGTTTCTTCTAAAACATTTTCTAGAAATCACACCAAACACATCTTAAACGTTGCTTATACTTTTTCTCGCTTGTTGTTTGCCTAAATTGTAAGGAGAGGACATAGTTAAAATTCAATAATGCGTCCATGCTATGAGGTGCAAAGTGTTTCGAACAATGTTGAGCACGTGTGATGTCATTTTGATGTAGTTTCTTTTTTTTGGTTTTGCAGCATATATGTCGTGTGGCTTTAGCTTCCAGTCAACGACTTTGCAATTCGTGTTGTTTTAAGTTTGTTGCTGAAATTTTCGTACCTTTCTGTATAACCTTTACAAAGCTTAATGATTCGGAAAAAAGTGTTCTTGACTTACAAGCGAAAGAGGCAACCAAGTTCAGTGGATCTTTATCGGGAAAATGGGATTCCTAATACACCTTCTGGATGTCAAAAATCAAACGGCCTAGCCCCTTTGCTGAAGAAAGAGGAGAAGTATGAGAACCATAGCATTAAGGATGAAAACAAAGACTTTGAGGTGATATATTTGGTATACAGTACTTTCCATTTGGGCCTAGCCCCCTTTGTTGTGCTTGTGATTGAGGTGTAGCTGTAGTAGTTGTTGTATGAGGTCTTTGTTGCGGCTTGATTTTCTTTGGATACTCATGTTCTAAGTTATGTTGTCACATTTATAAATGAAACCGTGGCAACGATTCTGAATCAAAACTTAATCTACATTTGGTCCCTCTCCTAGTTTCTGACTTACTAGTGATTCTTGGTAATCAATAAACACAGATGTGTAGTGTGGTGCATGAGTTAACACTTGTGTCTCTTGCTTTCAGAAGTACATTTTACAAACTGTAAACTATATGATTCTTAGCTGCCATTCTACAATGTCCTTGTTTTTGACCTGTCAAATGTGATACTTCCTTTGTTACAGTTTATGTGAACCTATTTCCTTTTTGGTCCGTTCCAAAAAGAATGACCCCTTTCTAAATTTGGAAACAATTTAGCTTAAACTTCCAACTCTATCCTTAATGAGAAGCATTTATAACCACACAAATACTCTGGACCTCTTTTTGACTTGTTTAGGACCACAAATTCTAAGGACCCGTTTAGCCATAGATTTTGCCAAAATATATTTGGTTTTTTTTTGGGCAAATACATGTTTGGCCATAGATTTTATCTACATTTTGGCAAATTCCCAAAATCCAATACTCAAATCCCAAATCACGATTACATTTTTTAAAAATTGCCCCAAACTTTTGTATTTTATAAAAGAGCCCACAATTTATTATTTTGTAACAATGTTGGTTCGTCTTCTCGCTCACCTGATAGCGTATTATGTAGTTCATTATAAAAATGATAATTGTATACCACAGGACTATGATTTGCGATAATATACTGAATGTTATTGATAAAGGTACTGTTTTTAGAACTTGTGGGTACAAGTCATGTTTCGTGTTTTTCCAAAAAAAAAGAGTAAAATATGATTTGAAAACTTATTCCAAACACATTTTCATCTTTAAACCAAACTTCACCCAAATCAAAATTTTCAAAACAAATTTGGGAATCTATGGCCAAAGGCTAGCTAAAAAACTTCATTTTTCTTAAACTCCGTGCCCAATCAAACAGGTTCACATAAAATGGAACGGAGGGGGTAGCTTATTTGACAGCTCAAATAGCCATCTGTTGATTGGCTTAATTATTAGGAAAATATTTGATTCTGATTGGGAAAGATTTGATTCGGATTAAGATTTGACTTTATTCTGATTGATTATAATTTATTTCCCTTCCTAAAATAGTCAATAGTACCTAGTGTATAAATACATTTGCTTAGGGATGTAAGAAATATACAGAAATACAAGAAGCCTTTTCTTCTTCTCAAAATCTACATGGTATCAGAAACATTGCTGCCTTTTTGAGGTGAGTTATCTCCCTTGCAACACTAGGGTTCCGTTTTTATCAAAGAGGTCGAGTTTTCTCTCGTGATGGTTGTCCGCAACACAAACTCCTCCTGGTCAGTTGTTTTGGAATTTCCTTTCTATTAGGGTCGCTGGAACATTCCTAGCCTATCCCTACAAGTTTTGATTTTTCCGTTCACCGGAGTTAAGGTTCCGTTGAGACAAATTTGGTTTTTGGCGAGACAGATTATTTTTGAGCAATTTTCTTCAGATTTTCTTTTGATTGGGTGGAAAATATGGAGACATTCAAGGAGACGATTTCTGGAGAAATCTTGACTTCGGATGAAATTCAGCTTCTCTATCGCCTCCTAGTCAAACTTGACTCCGCTAATGTTGCCACATTCAATTATGTGCAATCTGGTACCGCCTTTGTTGCTCACCTTAATTTTTGGATTGTTGATTCTGGTGCAAATAGACACATAACAGGCTCTTCTAAAGGCATTCAAAACGATTATTCGTGTCTGAAAGGGGATAATGTCAAAATAGCCAATGGTTCTTTAACACTTATCTCTAGAACAGGTTCTGTCGTTTATACTCCTAATATTAAACTATCATTCGTACTCCATGTCCTTGAGTTCCTCGTCAATCTTTTATCTGTTAGTGCCATCACCAAAGCTCTGAATTGTAAAATCGAGTGCTTTCCCGATCCTTGTATTTTCTAGGATCTTCAAACAGGGAATAGGATTGACAATAATAGATTGCGTGATTACTTTATATATTAGATGAAATTCAAAACTCTGGTCAAGTCTTCATTGGGTATTCTTCCACACAGGAAGGTTACAAATGTTATCATACTCCTTCTAGGAGATCTTTTGTAAGCATGGATGTTACTTTTCGAGAATCTGAGCCCTATTTCAGTATTATCTCATCACCTCTTCAGGGGGAGAGCAATAAGGAGGAGGAGGTGATTCTACCTAGTTCCATTACTGAACCTCTTAATGACATTGCCACGAGGGAAAGTGAAATTGGAGAAAGAATTCAGGCGGAGACTATTGGGCGTTTGGATAGGCCTGATTTGAAAACTCACTCAAGGAGAAATAAAGCAGAAGAAGCCATCATGCAATCTACCGAAGCTGAACCTTCTTCTACTTGTAAGTAATCTACATTTCCTAATGAGTTAGATATGCTTATTGCTCACAGAAAAAGGAGTCACATCTTCTACCACCAAACACTATTTATCTAATTTTGTCTCCTATAATTATTTGTCTCCCTTCTATAGAGCCTTTGCCTTGTCTATTCCCCAGAATTGTAGGGAAGCTTTTGCAGATCCTAAATAGAAGTAAGCTATGATTGAAGAAATGAAGGCCTTGTCAAAATGAAGAAATGAGACTTGTCACCTCACCACCCGACAAGAAGTTGGTTGGCTGCAAATAGGTCTTCACTGTGAAGCACAAAGTTGATGGGTCGATTGAAAGATTCAAAGTAAGATTGGTGGCTAAGGGATCCACTTAGACTTATGGAGAGGATTATCAGGAGACATTTGCCCCTATTGCTAAGATGAACACTATTAGAATTCTTTCGTCTTGTGCAACTAATTTTGATTAGGACTTGCAATAGTTTGATGTGAATAATGCATTTCTTCATGGGGACTTAGAAGAAGATGTGTGTATGGAAATTCCTCCTGGATTTGATACTGCACAAAGTCAAGGAAAGGTATACAGATCGAGGAAGGCCTTGTACGTACTGAAGCAATCCCCAGAGCTTGGTTTGAAAAATTCAACAAATCAATCATCTCCTTCGGTTACCAACAAAGCAATGTTGATCACACCCTCTTCATAAGACATCAAATGGGTAAACTCACTCTTCTTATAGTATATGTTGATGGCATAGTAATGACAGGAGATGACAAAGAGGAGATGGCCCGATTGAAGAAGTTGTTGGCACATGAATTTGAGATCAAGTATCTAGGAAAATTGCAGTACTTCTAGGGAATTGAGGTTGCTAGATCAAAAAGAGGAATCTTTATTTCTCAAAGGAAGCATATTTGGATCTCTTAAAAGAAATTGGTATTATAGGTTGCAAACCAGCAGAATCGCCCATTGAAAGTAATCACAAGTTACAAACATGAGTTGGAGAGCCAGTTGATAAGGAGAGATATCAGAGGTTAGCTGGAAGACTCATTTATCTCTCTCATACAAGACCTGACATAGCCTATTCAGACAGCTTGGTGAGCCAGTTCATGCATGATCACCGAGATCCTCATATGCAAGTTGTCTTTCACCTTCTGCGGTATCTGAAGTCTGCTCCAGGCAAAGGTCTGCTTTTCTCCAAACGTGGTCACCTTCAGGTAAAAGCCTATACAAATGCGGATTGGGTATCTTTAAATGATAAAAATCTACATCCGGTTACTATACATTCGTAGGAGGGAATTTGGTACTTGGAAAAGCAAGAAACAAAGTGTAGTTGCTAGATCAAGTGCGGAAGCATAATATAGAGCTCTGGCCCAGGGTGTCTATGAACTTCTTTGGTTACTAAAAATTACTTGAGGAATTGAGACTGTCTGAAAAGCGGAAACTTTCCTTATATTGTGACAACGAGGCTGCCATCAATATAGCTCATAATCCGGTCTAGCATGACCGAACAAAGCATGTCGAAATTGATCGACACTTCATCAAAGAAAAAGTTATGGGTGGTGTCTTGAGCTTGTTTCATGTGTCATCAGAAAAGCAACTAGCTGATGTGTTTATAAGGGTCTCAACAAACTGACTTTTCATATACTGGTTTGCAAGTTGGGCATGTGTGGCATCTTTGCACCAACTTGAGTGGGAGTGTTGATTAGCTTAATTATTAGGAAAGATTTAATTATGATTGAGAAAGATTTGATTTTGATTGAGATTTGATTTTATTCGGATTGATTGTAATTTATTTCCCTTCCTAAAATAGTCATAGGGCCTAGTGTATAAATACATTTGCTTAGGGATATAAGAATTATACATAAATAGAAAAAGCGTTTTCTTCTTCTCAAAATCTACACCATCCAATTTCTCTCTCTCTCCCTCTCACCTTTCTGCTTTATGGAAACCTTTTACTTGTTATTACTAGTGACAACTAGGATGAGGAGTATATGAGGGTAAATTCAAGATTTCATACTAAAATATATCTGCTAAAATACTAAAATATACCACGTGATAGACATGGTAGACATGGTTGTCATATAGAGTTCTTTTTTAACATACTAAAATATACCACGTGATAGACATGGTAGGGGTGGGTACAAGCTTAACTCAAACCCACTGAAACAAAAGTTAAAAAAGAACTCTATATGACAAGGTGTAAGCTTAGAAGTTAGTCTGAAAAGTGTGACAGCATAGACTCTTGCAGAATATTTATAAATAAAATTTGATTTTTAATTTTTGTCAAAAAGACAGTTTTTCATAGTTCTAAAGGTTATTGCTATCTTATACATGGTCCCAAAGGGGATGGAGTAGTGGTTGAAGTATGGGAGTGACAAGTTGCTGGTCCCAGGTTCATATCCTGGCTAAAATACTTGTGTGGGCTGATTTGCTCCAATATTGGTGAGCAGGATTTCTTTGGCAATCTTATGCTTGTGGGTTGGACAAGTTGCTGATGAATAGTTGAGGAGCGTGCAAATTGATCTCTATTGTGCGTAATAAGCAATCACTTGTTGAGTTTGTATCCAATGAAATATGCTACTAGCATCATACAGGGCGTCATAAACTTATGTTACTTGAACTTTTTTGAATAGGGTGAATACAATCTTCTCCCTCTTTTGTCCTATTATCTAATTAGTTCTGAAGATCCAGTCATCCCCTTTATTTCTTGAACTTCTAGTATTTAACTTGCAAAGCTCTTGTGAGAATTCTTTGTTCCATCATGAACAGATCTGTGGACAGGAGACAGCCTTGTTAATCTAAAGGGAGAACAATTCATAAACAAAAGCTTGTTGATAGGATTCATAAATTTTTTCCTGGGCCTTTGTGGATAGTGTGAGATCCATGTTGATTAGTCATTTAGCTCTTTCTTCTCATGTCAGCCTGGCTGGAGGAAATTCCTTCAGTTTTTGAATTGCTCCTCCTCAGACCTCCTTCCTTTACTCTCACTTGTACCTCTGCCAATCCTGCTGCATCAACTTCATCTGTTCGTTCTTCTTTCTTTCCCTTCCCTGCTGCCCAGTTGTAGCATAACTGGACCACCATAATCCCTTTAAAGCTCTTCAAGTTTGATGAGCACCATGAATCCCTATGCACATTTCCAAGCATAAAATAGTTAATAATTAGGACTGGATTCTTTCCAAGCAAGCAATGTTGCCAAAAAATTCCTTCTGATGACATGACACTCCGTGATGGAATTGTAAGTTGTTTCACGGATTTCAGCAACTTCTATTCCATTGAGTGATGGCTGGAACAAGACTTCCTGCTTCAATTTTGATCACCTGAGCATCTGGTAGCTCGTAGCTTTTCTCAACGCAGAGCTACTCTTTATAGCCTCCGACTCTTGCTCAAATTCAAGAGCAACATATGCTAGCTTCTCTTTCACATTGCATACAATTTCCTGCGCAACACTAGTACTGAATGGATACCCTCTCTTCGTCAGGATGATCAAATAATCAGGAAGATCACGATCAACAAGATTCAGTAGATTGCATGGAAAGGGCATAACCTTCATAAATTGGCACACACACACTCTCTCTCTCTATATATGTATGTATGTATGTATATTTTGACATAGTAACATGGTGACTCGAACCTCCAAAGGGGGATTTCCACTTGAGCTACCCTTTCTTGTAATTGGTGCTGTGTGTTTCATACCATCACTCGAATGAAGAACAATACCTGATGTATCACTGCTGGCATAAAGAGACAGCACTGGCTGAATAACGTGCAAGGTAGGTAGATTGAAAGTTTCAAACATGATTTGGGTCATTTTCTCTCTATTAGCCTTGAGATTCAGTAAGTAGAAAAAGGTAGTGTAGGGAGAACCCAAGGGTGGCCTAGTGGTCAATGAACTAGGAGGATAGCCATTAGAGGTTCAAATCCTAGCTAAGGTAAAATCCCTCCGTCCCATTTTATGTGACAATGTTTGAGTAGGTACGGAGTCTAAGAAAGAAAAATTTGTGAATAAAATAAGCTATAAACATTTATGTGGTTATAATTCATCCCATCAAGATTAACATGAGAAAGTATAAAGTTAAATTATTTCTAAATATGAAAAGATGATGTTCTTTTTGGTACAGACTAGAAAGGAAAGTCTGCCACACAAATTGGGACAGAGGAGTAGTTGATTCTTCCCTTCTGTCTAATTCCTGGTGCCAGAGTTACCTGATAAGTGTGCTGTTGGGAGGTAGCAAGTACTCGATGGAATAGTCGAGGTACGCATATGCTGGTCCGGATACTCACAAAAAAAGTATAGGGTTGTAAAGTGTGATACCAGATTTTCTTCATGGCATCCAATTTCTTACTATGTCCAGCAATTTACACAAGCAGAGATCCTTCTCCATGCGTTCCTAACATTTTCCTCAATATCTGTATCTTCCAGCTTGCAAAAGCACCCTTTACTTAAAAGCATATCTAATGAACAATGGAAGGGACATCATCTTCCATTGGTTGGAAGATGTTGTGAGAAGCTAAGGTTGATCCTCTAATCCAGACACTATACTTCCTTTCATGAGGTGTCACCACCTTGATCTTCATGCTGCGGAGCAAGGGCAGTTATTTCTTTGCTTGTACGATCAGCAATACCAGGAAACAACTTGGATCCACCACTGAGAACAATTTTTCCATAAGGATCCTTTCTGATATCAACATCACACTTCATGATGGAATTGTGAGTTGTATCACAGATTCCAGTAGCTTCTATTCCAACTGAGTGATGGCTGGAACAAGACTTCTGGGCATCTAAACCTCTCTGCTCCAATTATAATCACCTGGCTGCCTGTCCATCTGGTAACTCGTAGCTTTTCTCAACAGCAGATATGCTAGTTTATATGTCACATCTCTGACAATTTCCTGCTCAGCACTATTGGTGAATAAACACTGTCTCGTTGTTAGGACCTTCATCAAGATCACGAAAGATCCAATAAATACTGTTAGTCAGTCGAACTGAGCACGAGGGATGGATTTTGAGCTTTAATGTGGCTTTTGGTGGCATTGTGGTTTCTATTGAAAGAATTTTCTTCTTGCGTCTACATGATTATGATTCCGGATGTTAAAGGTGTCTTAGTTGTTAACTTCCTAAGTTGCTTCATTGCTGTTATCTTCGCAGGATAATTCTGAAGAAGCTCACTCTTCAAAGGATTCCAGAGGGCCTATCTCTGAAGGAGAACCGAGGAGTTCAGAAAAGAGATTATGTTCTTGCATTACGTCAGGTTGTGGATGTGATAGTAAATGCACCCAGAAGTTTTCACTTTCCCCGTTGACAGGATTGAATACTTCTAAAGAACAGGATTTGGTCACTCCAAATTCTGGTGTCGAGAAGAGATGCAATTTTCAGTACTGTGATACCTCTGATTTGGGAAAACTGAGTCTGGAAGAAGCTGACACAGTAAGAGACATATCTCAGAGCCTCTCTGTAAATGCAGTAAGAAAAAGCAAGTTGGCCTCCGCTCTGATTACTTTCCAGCGGAGAGCCAAGCGGGACAAGGATGCAGGTCAAGCAGATGCGAAGTTCGAGCTTAAAGTTGAAGATGTTGCTTGTTTATCAGTTAATACTGCGTGTCCTGTTGCTCCTCATGGCTCTGAAGAATCAGTTGCTAAGAGCTGCTCTATGGATCGTTCAGCAGATTTTAAGCATCCGAAGGTTAATCCTTATCCCAGGACAAGATACTTATTGTTAGGAATGAAGGAAACTTTTGTCAGTTGACTTTTAAATTATATTTGAGAGGGAGCCATATTAACCTTATTGAGAGTAATTCAGAAACCATCTGAAACCTATTTTACCAGTTTTTGGAGATCAATGCTGATGATTCATATTTTTCCTGATCAACTTTATAGTGATTTGAATTCCTAAATTAAAAGAGCAAAAATGGCAGATAAAAACTTATGAATATATTATTCATTTGTAGGATAGTCATAGTATTTCTCAAGACTCTTACTTTGAATACATGAGTACATGACACAAATATTTCTACTCCCCTTTCCTTCGAATATTACAAACTTTATATTCTATATTTCTTGTATGAGTAGCTCTTTAGTTGATGAAGTCATACGTTTAACCACGATCATGCGGATTAAAGCTAAAACTTTTATCTAGTCTCTGCTGACTTTTGCAGTATGGAGTATTAAATTGGTGTCTGGATTTTATTTTATATGAGGGCGCTTAGATTTGAAGCTAATATTGTTTTATTTATTGTCTAATTTGTTTTTGTTTTCTTTCTATGAATGTTTGGATTTGGTTTTGGGAGACGACTTTTGGATAATTTCGAGAATTTTTTGTGTTTATTTCTATTTTCAGAACCATAAAAGCAAAGAATATTTGGACAAGAAAACAAAACCACTATGTGCAAAAACAAAACATTCTGTTTCTATGTCCAGACAAGGCTCAAGTAAAATTAGTTTCAGAAGGATTATGTAGGCATAATTGCTTTTTTGCACCTGCAAATATCTGGCCTACAGGTTCTGTATTTTGAGAGACAATTTCACTTTGCATGACAATAAACTTTCTGCGTCCTGTTCAAACTGGATACATTGTTTCTCCTTTTGACATGTTAAGCTATGTGAAGGCATTGATAACTCCTTCGGAACCTGCTTGCTGCTCAGCTCATTTTTGCTGTCCTACTAAGACCTGATGAACACAGACTTGTTGATTATTTCTATTGGAAAATCATGTAATTTACAATGTTAACCAAGTCTCTTATTTTGTTATAGACAACCAGCGGAGGTGACCATTATCAATGTTCTTGTGCTGGATCAGCTTCGCGGATGAAGATGTAAGCTTAACTATCTTCTACTCCTGCCTTATGGTGAAGTGAGGAGACAGGTTTAATGAAAGATTTTTGTTTGGAAATGTTCATTCTTATTTCCTGGATTTTGCTTTTACAGATTGATAGATGTTAATGAACAGCCGATCTCAGTCAAGGAAGCTTCACCAATCGACAAAGAAGCTATTCCAAATTCTGGAATAGGTTTCTCTGGTTTTGACAACAGTTTTGCTTCAGATGCTGTCAAGGACTCATCATTTCGTACCACTCAGGACCCTTCTTTTGATGCTTTATCCGGAATAGAAGGGCCAATATCGTCTCCGTTAGAGGCTGCGAGTGACAGAGGTTCCCGAGCTTTAGATCTGTCCATTCCTTGTGACAGTATGTATTTTTATTTGGTTTTGTCCTCCTCGAATGTAAGATATATGTTTTTGTAGGAGTTTGTGGTCATGAATCTGTATCTCAGTATGCTTTTGTTTTAAATTACCTTGTGCAGATAGTGATGACAAAATCGACTGCAATAGTATGTCAGAACAGGCATCTGATGAACACCTTATTCCAACGGCAGAAGAAGTTCAGCAGAACCCTCCTTGCTCCTTGAATGAAAATGTTTCTACGTTTTTACAGAAGGTGCCTTCTGATAAAAGTTTGGAATTACTTGACAACAAACAGGAGAAGATATCTCCAATTCAAGCAGAGGTACCTGAAGCTGGTTGCTTACCTGGAAAAGCAACGGCTGATTGTAGCGAGGGCATTGCTTCAATAAATGATTTACCGCAGGTAGATATAAGAGTGCAGTTGTATAGAAACTGCTCCTCATTAAAAGTCTCTACCAGTTTTCAGTAAATCTGTGCTACTTCCAATGAAGTGTCTTTGATGTTTGATTGAGATGAATTAAATTGTTTGCTTTCAGCTTTTTCGGGAAGAGGGAACCTACAACTTTTTCCCATTAGCAAGCACGCAGCAAAATGAGAGTGCTCCTGTGAATTCTAAAGGAGGAGGAAAAGTTTGCTCGTCAGAAGACAAGAAGCGTAGTGGGACTACTGTAGCGGAATCCTCAGATTTTCTTGGTTTGTCACTGCCAACTGAATCCATGGTCGGTGGTCCAGCTTTAAGCTCAAGCTCGTCACAGCTGGCTGATATGTGGAATCAACCAAGGGAAATTATTCAAGGAGTTCCTCAGTTTCCTTTTGATGCGTCATTGCTTCATCGGCATCAAATGATCCTGGATAACATTCTTAATAGAGCAAGATCACAGAAGAGAAATAGGAGGAGATTTGCAGAAATATTTGAGTCTCCAACAATGTGGTCAGAAGAGGAGCTAGACTCACTTTGGATTGGTGTGAGGAGGCACGGAAGAGGTAACTGGGAAGTAATGTTGAGGGATCCAAGGCTGCACTTCTTTTCCTGGAGGACACCAATGGATTTGGCGGAACAATGGGTGCAGGAACAATCGAAACTTTTCCATGGAAAATCCATTTCCCCTGTGGGACAGTTACGAAAAGCTGATCTTTTGTTCCATGGTACGGATGATGTTAGACTTTCACTGGGGCATGCATATTTTCAGTCAGAGGACATCCAGAGCCAAATACCTTTCCATTTTGGAAATGTTCAAAATACTTCGTCCAAACTACTTCACCTGGCTACAACAAACGTAGGGTCCTTAGACTCGCTCAGTCATAGGGGAAATCGCGGAAGAGCTAGGTTGAATCAATCCGAAAACTTTGCAGGTTCGGGTGTTGACTGTTCATTCAGTTCTCATATTATGAACAGAGCATCTGAAGGGGGTAATTTGCCTCACTGGCTTAAAGAAGTGGTTGCTATCCCACCGAGGCCTCCTGGATTTCCCCCAGATTCTTCATGGATTTTCCATCCGTGGGTTGGTCTACCCTTTCCCGAACCTGACAAAGCAAATTGTGAATCAAGGAACATATTAAGTGACTTGTGCACTTCACCAAGAGCTGAGCTGAATAATGGCAGTTCTGATCATGCTCATCTACCAGCAGTGCCTATGAGAGAGGGGAAGCAACATTGTATGTCAGAGGCGAATAAAAGGGTTGAGCTAATTGTCATCAATAGCGACGCCTCATCTGAGGAAACAATATCGGATGATTGTAATGTAAGGTGTTAGCTTAAGTTGGGATTTTAGAGTTTAACTATGGTTAAGCGTGTATAAAAGGTTGGTAATCCGATTAACTCGGCTATTTTTGAGAGCGAGGTTAACTGAAATCAAGTAGGTTTTTGCCAATTATTACAATCAGTTGATTTGCATATTCTCATTTTAGTTATTTGCAATAGCTGTATGTTGTGAACTCATCCGTTCCCATTGAGTTTTTAAATTAGGATTTGGATCAAAACCAAGCAAATCCAAATGTCATCAAGAATGGTAAAAGCTATTCCCTTGCAAAATGTGTAAGAAATCCTTGATAATACGGGCTTATGAGACTGGCTCCTATTGAAGATTCTTTCCGTTCCTAGTTCTCCACAAATGAGATGGAACTGATCACAGACTACAGTTTACACTCTGTTTGGATCATTGTTATCCATTGTTTCATAATATATTGTATTATATCGTATCTTATTGTATTGTATCGTTTTATGAATACAATGTTTGGATAGATTGTCTTGTTTACTGTTGTTAAATAACATTTTGCTGTTTGGTTTGACTATATCGTATACCAAAATAAGTATACCAAAATATCCTCAGTTATTTTAAATATTAAATTTATCAAGAATTATGGATAAAAATAATTCAAGAAAATCCCTTTCTACTAAAATAAAAAATTAACTATCATTAGAAAACAAATAATAATGAACGATGATAGAGAAACAAACGAAGACCGTGCAGTTGGCAAAACAAAAGAACGAATATAAATAAGTAATACTTTGCACACTTGAAAACAACCAATAGTATACAGCTAATTGGAGATTAAAGTAATTAGAATTGGAGTTAAAATCAAAGTAGGAGAAAAAAAGAAGACAAAACCTATTCTTACTACCTTTGACGTTGGAGTTGGGAATAGTAAGCGGCAGAAGGAAAAACATAGGATGAAGATAAAGTAGGTTAAAGGTTGGAGATTTGGAGTTAAAAAAAAGAAGGTAAAGGGTAATATATAATTTTAAAAGTAATAAGTTAGGACATAATTGAAAGAAAAATATGAAACAATTCCACCGCACCAAATCGGTTGTTTCAAAATATAAGAGACTTTTCATTGTTTCAAAACAATAAATTTAATAATACGATATAACCAATTTTAACAAAACAATCAAAACAAATATTATTTTGGGATAATAATACAATACGATAAAATGGGTAACAACCATCTGAACAAGCTGTCACTCAACATTTCAGTGATGAAATAATGGGTAACATGTTTTGTCCCCTTGACAAGGAATTTCCATTTTTTTCATTTTAGTTTGATACATAATAATGTTTACATATATGAACAAATCTGCTCTTTTTCAAATTTTTTTTGTTTAATCTTCTGGTATCAAAATTTTAATAGTCTCACCACTGTGAATACCTGCGGCGTAGACACACTAATAGGTATTCATCATTATTTCATCGACAAGTTATTTATTCATATATATATATATATATAATTATAATACTGCAGAAACTAAGTTCAACATGCTTTCTTTTAAATTATATTGACGGCTATAATTACGTATTTTAATCGATTATTACATTCCAATTTACTGCACTATAATTGAGTTTGAGCTTTAATCGCTAATGTTTTGCACTAAGTGTGTGTTTTATGCCTTGTAGGAGTGATTCCGAGCTATGTAAATGTTATGGAATGAATTCAAGTGATTTGAAGCTTTGAAGTCTGAGTAAAAGCCCAAGAAATTAAGCCAGGATCGTGTTCGGGGATCAACGGATAATACAACAACGAAACGACGAATCGAGTAGGCATATTGCACACTGTCTAGTAAAATGTACATAACGTTTCTCTGAGAACTCCATTCCGGCTCCACAATATATGGTTCAAAAGCTAACTCAAAGGGATACAACTTTCATGTTTTACGTTTTTCCAAATTCCAAACATAACAGGGTGAAACGTGCGTGTCAAGTACGCGGCCGCGCATTGACCGCTCAAATAGGGCAGAACACTGGTCAATATGCGCGGCCCATCCGCGGTTGATCCGCGGCCGCGCACGTCATGTCCGGGAAAAGTGTCTTTTTTTGCGTAGGAGAAGGTATAATTGTTTGGGCCCGACCCTACTTGGTATATATACATGGAAAGATGGTATTTTGAGGACTTTTGACATAATTTAGACCTAAGGAGGCTAAGGAGATCGTAGATTCGACCTAAGGAGGCAAAGACACACTAGGAGCAAGGCAGTGAATTCTTCTACGAGTTTTTCACTTCCTTCTTCCTATTTTCACTATTGGTTATGAATTCTAGTATTGTGGTTATGCATACTATTAAGAATAGCTAATTTGTTATCTAGGGTTTTGATGGAACCTCTTGAATGATGATTTTCCTGTTATGTTAATATAGATTTGACGTAGTTTTTCTCTATTTGTTCAACTACGTTTATATTGTGGTTGGTTGAAGAGCTCTCAATCGACTGTACCTGTTTAGTGTGTATTACTCGGGAGAGAGTGCATATTTAGGTAGTTGTTGAACAACATCACTCCTAACGTATATGAGGGATCAATACAGAGGGTTTAAATGTAGGATTAGGGATAACGAAACCTTGGTGCGATTTGAGTGAGCCGTACTTAATGCCAGCTAGCGTAATTCGGGAGAATATGTCTAGTAAATTGTGATAATTACTCGGGAGAGAGTTACGACATTCAGAGTGCTCATGGTCGATAGAGAAAACTTAGGCAAATTTATAGAAAACGTAGCGGAAAGGATTCCGACAATAGGGGAAATCATAACTCTAGACCTCCTTAATCTTGTTTCTAATCCTTATCCTTGTTAGTTGATAGTTTTACTGCTTTCTAGTATGTGTTAGTTGATTAGATAAAAATAAATATTATAATCTTTATAGTTAGAAAATTGTTTGGACTTGTGTTTTTTAGAAATATTGAAAAGTTGTAGCTAAACCATAGTTCTCTGTGGGATTCGACTCCGGACTTATAAATCAGATTATATTTGTAACGACCGCTTAGTCCTTTTATAAGTCATAGTTGGGCGTGATCAAAATTTGGCGCCGTTGCCGGGGAACTAACGGTGTAGTTGTAGCTGTATATATTGCTAGATTTCGAGTTTGAACTTTTTTTTTTTTGGTTTGTTTTGTTTGTTTTTGTATTTGTATTTTTATTTTATTATAACTGTTGATTTGAGATACATGACATCTTGGAATTATGGGAATTTAGGTGTAGATAATTCTACTATTGATCCTCATACATATTGTGAAGGAAACAACCCATATCAAAATTATCAAAATATTTCTGAGAGCGAGTTATGTGCACCAACTCAATCTTATTTGTGGAATGTGTGTGATGTGTGTGGTGGTAAAAATAGTCACTTTCATGGTTGTGCTTATATTTCTTATCTTCCCCCAATGCTTTACTTTGATGGTTCTTCCTTTTCTTGTGAAGTTAATAGGAACAAAGAATTTGGGGACACGGACCTAAAGGAGATCAAGGATATGTTAAAGTGCCTTATGGAACAAAATAATGAGAAATAATTGCAGATAGAAAGGCAAGAGGCAACTATTCGCAACTTGAAGGCTCAAGTGAGTTAAGTGGTTGGAGCTTTTAATGCTCAACAAGCCAATTTTAGGGATACAAGCCAAGAAGAGCGTGAATTTGAGGTGCTAATTGAGGAGGTCAGAGTAGAACATCAACAAACTAGCCAACTATAATTTGAGGATGTCAATGTTGTAGAAGTGAGACTATAGCCAGCCAAGGACATTGAGGATATAAATTTTATTGACTCTAGTATCATTGATGTTGAGGATGCAGAAAGTCCTGAAGTTCATGTGTGTGAGCGCATTGGTCCTCACTCGAAACATTTTTCTACATTGTGCTTGGATAACGATATGAAAATAGGGTCATCCGAGCCAATTGAGAAGTCAAGGAATGAGGAACAAGGTGCCTACATTCTGGAAATTTTTTTGCTAGAAATACAAGACTACATACCTCATCTAAAAGTCAAGAAGTGTAGAATAGTACAATGGTTGCTTGGGCCAATTAGTTTTGTTCCTCCACCCCTGGAGCATAGCCGAAAACTTGATGCCAAATTAGGGGTTCAATTCATAAGCTCGAGATGGAGGCAAAAAGTGATTCGCATCGTGCCGCGACGTTAAATCAAGCGTTTGTTGGGAGGCAACCCAGCTTTCCTTTTTTTTTTAATTTTTTTTTTAATTATTGTATCATTTTCGTAGTGTCGATTTTTGATTTTCTAGGAGCATGGCAAACAAAGATATTGGAAGGATGCAACAACAAACCAGATGGTTGGAACTAAGTGTGAGGTACCCGCACGAAGGACCAAGCCTGGAAGAAGTCTGAGTACCCCATGAGCTGCTAGTTCTTTGGTCTTTGGCTTACTAGGGAGTTTCTTTTACCCTCTTATTAGTATATTGTGCATTGGGGACAATACACGATTTTAAGTGTGGGGTGAGGAGATTGTCTGGGTGACTTCCTATGCTATTTTAGTTGTATTAGTTTAATTGAATAATTTTTTTTTTTAGAAAAATGAAAAAAAGATTGGACTTTTTCCGACGATGGATATCCTAGACAATTTTCTTGAGGGATTTAAATCTAACGAAAATAAAAGATTTTCTTTGTAGGTAGTGTAGTAACTCCCCTTGATTTTCTTGTGCCGCGATTCTTTTCCAAGGGTTTTGTTTGAACCAGGTGTAGTTAGTTTTTTTAGGGAGTAGGAGCTAGCGTGATATGAATTGAATCGCAACGATATCTATTGATTTTGTTATGTGAGTACTTTGGTTGTGACGCTTATGCTCAGTTTTTGACTCTTGTATAAGTACCTTAAATCGTATGATCTTGAATTTACTTAACTACTTTGACTAGAGTGTCTTGATGAGTCTAATCCTGAGTGAGTTATGTGACATGTGTGTTTAAGCTTTTGTGTTATTCTGTGCGTGCATTTGATGTCTAGAACTTGACCCGTGTGTTTGCAAAGAAAAATAGTAGTTTTGTTCAGTCTTGGAAGTGATATAGGTGTTTTTTTGTTAAGCCAGATATATATATTTTACCCGCCTAATTGTTATGTATCGTAATTAACCTTTTGAGCCTGTAATCCTATTTCTTTGGCAACCACATTACAAGCCTTACCCATTTGTTTGAATTA